CCTCGTCTGTCTCCGGCCGGGACACTTGTGCTGGGATCTAGGTCCCCTTCGTCATCCAGGACGCCCTCATCTCAAAATCCTTATCTTGATTGTATCTAAAGCCCTTTTAATAGATAACGCCACACCCAAGGGCCCCAGGGGTTAGGATTCGGCTACATCTTTGGGGGGCCATTGCTGTACTACTGGTGGGTTAACAGGGGGGACTGGTGGGTTAAAGAGGGGGACTAGGGCACCCTGTTAGTCCCGGGAGGCCAGGCCATGTGGAAGGCATGGGCACTGTTCCGAGCTGGGTGTGGGTCCAGGCCTCTGCCCCTCCCCACGGGCCCTGTATGTCTCCTCTATGTGGGTGCCCATCTCGCCTCCCTCTCAGGCCTTTGAGGAGGTGGAACTCTCGGTGATGTCTGGCACACAGCAGAACAGTGAGCCAACCCCTTGTTGTTCTTGTTCTGGGGTCCATGGGGGTCGCATGATCTACAGTGCAGGGCAGAGAAAGAAGTCACTGAGCTCTGCCCCCGGAGGGGCACCCAGTCCAGGGACCTTGGCTTTGGAGGGCCGGTCTGTCGCAGGAGAGAGGTGGGTTTGCGGGACCTTGGCTGGTGCTGGGGTGGACTGGGGGCCTGGCTTCCTGAGGCTGTGTGTGTGTTGGTGTGAGCATGTCTGAGCATGTGAGCGTGTTTGTGGCTGCATGATTGGTGTGTGAGTGCACACGTGTGTGTGTGAACCTGTGCGTGTTTCTGCCTGTGCGAGTGTGTGCCTATGTGTGTGTCTGTGAATGATCAAGTGTGTGAGGAGCACTGGGCAGTGGCTGTGGCTTTGGCCATGCCCTACCACACCCCTCCTCCAATGTTGCTTGGACCCAGTGGCCTCGGCGCTGCCCACTTTGGCGTTTTCCACCCCACAGGGAGCCGTTGCTCCTCACCTTCTCCCCCATGCCTTGCTGCTCTGAGGTCCCTGAGGAGGACGGGGTGGGGGACTCACGTGTGGCCGTCAGACCCTGGCAGGCTTGCTTCATTCCACTTTGTGCCAGGCTCCGTGTGACGTGGGTCTCCTGGCACAGAGTGAGGCTCTCCCTGTGGGGCCCTGTCAGTGTGTGCCAGGCTCTGTGTGGCGTGGGTCTCCTGGCACAGAGCGAGGCTCTCCCTGTGGGGCCCTGTCAGTGTGTGCCAGGCTCTGCATGGTGTGGGTCTCTTGGCACAGAGTGAGGCTCTCCCTGTGGGGCCCTGTCAGCGTGTGCCAGGCTCTGTGTGGCGTGGGTCTCCTGGCGCAGAGCGAGGCTCTCCCTGTGGGACCCTGTCAGCGTGTGCCAGGCTCTGCGTGGCGTGGGTCTCCTGGCACAGAGCGAGGCTCTCCCTGTGGGGCCCTGTCAGTGTGTGCCAGGCTCTGCGTGGCGTGGGTCTCCTGGCACAGAGTGAGGCTCTCCCTGTGGGGCCCTGTCAGCGTGTGCCAGGCTCTGTGTGGCGTGGGTCTCCTGGTGCAGAGCGAGGCTCTCCCTGTGGGGCCCTGTCAGTGTGTGCCAGGCTCTTCGTGGTGTGGGTCTCCTGGCACAGAGCGAGGCTCTCCCTGTGGGGCCCTCACTGTCAGTGGACTCTGCTGCATTGGGGGATTTCACCAAATGACCCTAAAAGGTGGTCTTAGCAATTCAAGTGCCCTCAGGCAGGGCCAAGAAGCACCCTCACCCCCTCCATCCCCTCCTTACTTTCACTTTTCTTCTTTTTTTTTTGAGACAGAGTCTCACTCTCTTGCCCAGGCTGGAGTTCAATGGTACCATCTCGGCTCACTGCAACCTCTGCCTCCCAGGTTCAAGTGATTCTCCTGCCTCAGCCTCCCGAATAGCTGGGACTACAGGCATCCGCCACCACGCCTGGCTACTTTTTGTATATCTAGTAGAGATGGGTTTCATCATGTTGGTCAGGCTGGTCTCAAACTCCTGACCTCATGATCCACCTGCCTCAGCCTCCTGAAGTGCTGGAATTACAGGCGTGAGCTCCTTGTCCTCTGGCTCCCCCTCCAGTTCTCAGGGTCCCGCCTCCCACCAGCCACTCCAGGGCCATAGACACCTCCCAAAGAGCACTTGGAGACCTGGGGTTTGTAAAAAGGAACTTTACTAAGAAACCCACACGGAAAGAAATAGGACTGCTGAAGCCAGATACTGGGCGAGGTCACAGGGCCAGGTCAGCAGCTGCTGTCCCCCTGCAGGAAATCCCTTCTCTGGCAGTGGGAGCCCCTCTACCCACCCCAGGGGCCTGAAGCCCCAAAGAGTCCTGCAGCCTGGCCTCAGAGGGCTTGCCAGTGCCTTCACTCTGCAGGGATGGGGGCTGTGGACAGATGGCAGGAGGGACAGGTGGGTGAAGGGAAAGGGCCTGGGCAAGGCTTGGGGGACCGGGAGGCCAGGTACTTGGGCACTTGGGCCTCAGGGCTGGAATGGTCAGACCTGAGTGAGGCTGTGGGCTGGTTTGGGCTGGACATGGACCCAACTGTGTCCTGGGTTGGGTGCCAGGCACTGGGTCCTCCTTGTGTTTTGGTGATTGCACAGTCAGAATGGGATGGACTGTGAGACCCAGGGGTCTGGGATAAGCTCAGAGCGGCCACAGCCACCCCTGCCTCGATGACTCTGTGTTGTTCTGGTGCAGGGGTTGCGACTGGCGGCCTCATTGGCGCTTTAACCTTACGGCTGGGCGCAGGGTCGCTGGGCATCAGCCCACAGTGGTGGCCTTGTGCCCCTGGAGAGGCTTCTCTGCTTCCCTTTTCCCACCTGGGGCAGGGCGCAGCTGAGGGCTGCTCCAGCACTTGGCAGAGCGTGAGGGCCCGCGGCCTAGACGTGAGGCTGGAGGATGTTGGTGTAGTCGAGGGAGGGCCGGGGCCGCCTCTGCCTCGGGGCTGAGAGGAACCGCTGGGCCTGAGGGGAGGGCTGGGTCAGGGCGCTCTGCCAGCTCTGCCAGCTCTGCCCAGCCCCCTGCCCTGCCCAGCCTCTGGAGGTGGGTGCCCACCTTCAGGAGCGTGAGGATGGCGCTGTAGCTCACGCTGAGCAGGAAGAGTGTGGCAAAGATGCAGAGGCCAGTCCACGTCCACGGCTCCTCGCCCTCGGCCTCCTCCACACACACGTCCAGCTCAGGGGGTCTTGGCCAGTCAGCCCTCCTGGATCTGCAGTGGCAGCGGGGGCGGGGTACAGAGCCCCTTGCTGCTCTTGCCAGGCCCTGCTGCTGTCCGCAGTGGCAGAGTACCCTGTCCGGGACCCTCTGGGACTGTGCAGAGCCTCCGGCCAGCCCTGAGGTGGGGACCCAGGTCCCAAGTCAGTCCCCAGCCCAGGGCCAGGCTGACCACTCCTGACCTCTCGTTCCAGCCCCGCCCCGGCCCCAGGGTGACCCAGCATTTTCCCTTTGTTCCTTAGGCTTCTCTCCTGACCTCTGATTGCTTCCACTCCACCTCTCTCCAGGCCCCATCCCCTCCCCAGAGAGGGACCCGGCCCCTTGGCACACGAGTGGCTGCCCTACTCTGGGCCCTCAGAAGAGTGTGTGAGCTGTGTGGCCTGGCTCCTAGGACCTGGGAATCACTGCACGGGTGCTCTGAGGGGATGGCCTGGGGTGGACTATGAGCCCTGGCCCAGCCTAGTCCCTCTGGCTCCTCCTGCCCTGGGACCAGGTCCCCTCCACTCCCTTCCCCAACGCCCCGAGTTGCCTGCTAGTCTCAGGTCACCAGCAGGCGTGGGTCTGGTGTCTGTCAGGGGCTCATGCCACCTTTTTCTGCTGCGCCCGGCCTGGGGCTGGGTGAGGCTGGGCTGGGGCATGACAGAGAGGCCGAGTGCACTGCCCTGCTGGTGTGCAGGGACTGTGTCTTCAGACCCGGGGCTTTGGGCCCGTGGGGTGCCTGGTGTCTGTGTTTCTGTGTGGATTTGGTGGGTGCTGTGCCCTTGGTGTGCAGCTAGGGGTAGTGTTCAGATCCGGGGTGGCAGATACCCACCTGTGGGTTGAGGCTTGGGAGGGGCATGTCGCCTACTCTGGGCTTCTGGTGTGGGCATGAAGGGAGTAGGATGGAGGCCACGTCCTGGGGGTGCATCTGTCCTGTGTTTGGCTGTGGGTGCAGCTGACAGCGTGACAGTGGGGGCTGGACTGGAGGACGCCAAGCCATGTGGGGGCCTCTCCGTTTCTGTCTGGGACCCAGTGGCCCAGGTATTCCAAGAGGAAGGACTTGGGGGGAGCCTGGCTGGAGTTAGTGTGGGAGGCGGAGTGTGGGCCAGGCATGAGCATGTGTGGGTACCCATGGTGCCCTGGGGGTGGTGCATGGTGCTGTGGAGTTGCCGTGCCATTGGCACGTGTACAGCTCTGTGCCTGGGGTGAGGCATGCGAGGTATGACCAGGTGTGTGAGGCTGGTGGTTCCCTGGGGGCCGATTCAGGGTGGACTGAGGTGGGGCATGGTGTGCCCATGGGGCAGGGTGTCAAAGGCTGTGGGGTGTGGGTGGGCTCGGCCCCGCTAGCCCCAGGTGGGACAGGGTAAAGAGGTCAATGCCAGTGGCACAGACTCGGGAAGGACTGTCTGTCTGGGAAGGGTTGTCTCTGTGGGGGTTTCACTTGGGCTGTTTCTCCACCTGGAGGGCCTGTGTGCCCAGCTACACCTGGGGGTGCAGGGGCTCCTGTCCAGGGGTATAGAAGCCAAGCCCCCAGGAAAGAGAGGGCTGTGGGGGCTGGACTCCCTCGCCGCCTCCCCTGAGGACCTCCCCTGGATCTTTGGACTCTGGAGAGGGTGGACCCAGAGTGGGGGCAGAGAGTGCCCGGGGCATCTGTGATGAGCGCCTGGGGCATCTGTGATGAGCGCCCGGGGCATCTGTGATGAGCACCTGAGGATGTGCTGTTTGACAAATACCCCTGACACAAAGGCAGATGGCTGAGCGGTGCCTTGGCCTTGTCACTTCCTCCCATTCCCCCCTCCTGGGAGGCCCATTCCTCTGTGCCAAGAGGCCCCTGCCCACAGCCCTGCCCGCTCCCAAGAACAGGTGCACCCAGGGCTCTCAGCAAGCACTGTTTATTGGGGGTAGCTTCCTGGGGTCGTGGCAACAGTGGACAGACGGTCTGGCCAGCCCTCCCCACCGCACCGCTGGACGGAGCCCTGGGAGGGAGGGAGGCAGGAGGACGTCATTTACCGAGATTTACAGACACCGCTTTCTCGACGGTCTGTGAGTCTTTGGCTGCCTCGTGGATCGCACGGCAGATGAACTCGTTTTTCTGCTCCCATTCGGCCCTGGTCACCTCCAGGCGGCTGAAGACAAAGAAGCCGGGGCCCTTGGTCCTGTGGGGCGGTGTGGTGCTGTGCCGGGAGGGCGGGAGCGTCACCCCGTTGTGCAGCCACTGCACGGAGATGTCCATGGGCAGGAAGTTCTGGATCAGGCAGGTGAGGGTGCGCTTGTGCGGGTTCCCCGGCTCCTCTGGCGTTGCAAACACGTAGACTTCCGGGGCAGCACGGGGGCCTGGGGCCAGAGGTGGGGTCAGCACAGGCTCCGCTCCCTCCCTCCCCGGCCCGGGCCTGCCTGCAGCTCACCGCTCATCTTGGTCATGGACCGAACGAGGGCCCTGGGCAGGTGGGGGTGGGTCACCCTGCAGTGGTAGGTCTCCCCCTCGATCCAGTCTCTGGTGCCCACTGGCAGGGTGGACGTGACGGTGACTGTGCCATTGCGCTGCTTCTGCTGCCTTGGGATCACGTGGGGCACAGGCTTCTTACTGGCACGGGACCAGGTCAGGTTCACTGTCCCCTGGCTGGGCGCCAGGTCCACTACCAGACAGGTGATCGTGGGGGATTTGCTGACGAACAGGTCCAAGGGGCTGGGCCGGCTCAAGTAGGCGCTCACCCCTCTCGGGTTGGAATCTGTGTCACACGGGAGGGCTGTGTGAGGCCCGCCCACCCCTCTTCTCCGGCCTCTGCGGCCACCAGGGCAGGTGGGAACCTACCTGCACACTTCTTGGCACTTTCCTCCAAGGTCTCGCCTTGATAGTCGACCAGGCAGGTGTAGGTGTGGTCGGACAGCCAGCGCTTCTGGGTGAGGATGAGCTCGCTCTGCCTGGAGGCCAGCTTGCCCTCCAGCCTGGGAGCAGAGACGGTCCAGTTCACGTCCACGACCTGCCCGTCCTGTAGCCAGGTGATGTTGACGTCACCTGGGGTGTATCCGGAAACGAGGCACAGGAGCTGGACGGTTGGGGGGAAGTGTCCGCCGCCGTCGCAGGAGGACTGCAGGATCTTCACAGTGGGCGTTTCGACATCCCTGGAGCAGACTGCGGGCAGAGCTCGTGGTCATGAGGGCTGTCGGCCTCCCCGAGCTCTGTGTGCCGTCCTCTTGCCCTCATGTCCTGGCCAGGTCCCCAAGCATGCTGGGTGTTCCCAGCGTTGGAGTCCTCCCCCCCCCGCCTGCTGTAGAGTCCTCCCCCCTCACCCCCTGCCTGCTCTTGGGTCCTCCCCCCTCACCCCCTGCCTGCTCTGCCAGCCCTCAGCCTGGCACTCCAGGGAAGTCTCTCCTGCTCCGAACCTGTGGTCTTTGAGCTTGGCCCGCTCTTACCTCTGAAGGTTTTTTTGATCGGGTCTGGGGATGATGGAGTGTGTGCCACCCTGCAGGTGAACGGCTGCTTCTTCCATGCACCCGAGACGGTCAGCTGGCTGGTGGTGGTGTAGTGGCCAGAGGCCATGGGGGTGGTACCTGGGAGGGTCACAACGATCCCATCGAGGGAGCCTGTGTCCCAGGTCACGTTCACCGGCATGGGGAAGTATCCTGTGGCCAGGCAGCCCACGGTCACGGAGGCTTTGGTCTTAACTTCTTTGCAGCAGGGGATCAAGGGGAAGACGGATGGGTGCTGTGTGGAGGCTGTGAGGACAGAGCCTGGTCAGTGCCAGCCTTGGGTCATCCCACCAGGCTGGGGGAGTCCCTGTGGGGGAGCTGGGGATGCCCAGGGATCCAGATGGCCAGGCTCATTCCGGGCCTTTCCCCACTCTGTGCTTCCCCACAAGCTCCAGGCCCAGGGCACCTCCCAGGGCCCCTGTTCCCCTACGAAGCTGTTGCTCAGCCACTGTCCTCAGGAAGATGGGGGTGCCCCAGGATGACCCCAGCCTCCACCCCAAGTGCTGAAGCCTGGGCACTCAGGAGAAGAGGCACTGGGCCACACCCCTAGGCTGAAGCCTGGGACCCAGAGCCCTTCCCCCTCAAAATCTCCCTGGGCTCACGGCGGGTCATCTGCCGGGCCTCCAACCCTGGCCCTCGCTCCCCGAGGCTGTAGGCTCAGCTCCTCAGGCTCCTGAGTGCGGAGCCTCGTCTCTCCATCACAGCAGCCCTCGCCTGGCCTGCCAGATCCCCGCATGCTCTGCCCCCGCTGGCCTCTAGGGGAAGGTGGGAAGATTTGCCCTGATGCCCCAGGTGGTCCCTCCACAACAGCCCCCTAGCCTGAACAGAGCCATCTGCACAGTGAGGCCCTCGTTCCTGCCCTGGAGCCCCAAATTCCCAGCCCATCCTGCCCCTGGAGCTGCATTTAGCTTGGTCTCAAAGTCTGCTCTAGGTACTTCCAAAATCAGTGTCCAGCCCCACTTTGCCTGCCAGGACAGCCAAGGTCAGCAGAGACTGGCCCACCCAGGGGGTCACCCTCTAAGGTCCACTCTAGGCCAGCCTGGTCCGGGTCAGCCCAGCCCAGCCCAACCTAGGCCAGCTGAACCCAAGTTAGGTCAGGTTAGGTTAGGTTAGCCCAGCCCAGCCTGGTGCAACCCAACTCAATCCAACCCAACCTAGCTCAGCCTGCCCAGCCCAGCCAGGTTGAGTTCTGTCAGTTCAGCCTCGCCCAGCCCAGCTGAACCCAGTTTAGCTCAGCTCCACCCAGCTCAGTTCACCTTAGCCTGGCCCAGCCCATATTAGCCCAGCTAAACCTAGGCTGGCCCAGCCAAACCCACTCCGCAGGCCTAGTTCAGCCCAGATCAGCTCATCCCAGCCAAACCCAGTTCAGGTCACCCCAGCTCAACTCAGTTCAACAATCTGAGCCCAGCTCAGTCCAGCTTCTAACCCTGTCCACCTCAGGTCCCTCAGCCAGCCTAGCCCTCCCCAGCTCAACCCAATTTAGCTCAGCCCAGCTTAGCCCAACCAGCTAAGCTAGCTCAGATCAGTCCTGCTCAGCCCAGGTCTTCCAATCACAGCTCAGGCCAGGCCAGCTCAGTCCAGTTCGGTCTTGCTCAGCCTAGCTGAACCAAGTTCAGCCCGGCCTGGTCCGGCCCAGTTTAGCTGAACTCAGCCTGGCCCAGCCCAGCCCAACCTAGGCCCCTGAACCCAGGTTAGGTTAGGTTAGCCCAGCCCAGCCCAGTTTAGCTGAACTCACCCTAGCCTGGCCTGGTCCAGCCTAGCACATCCCAATTCAGTTAACCTCAACCTGATCCAGCCCAGCCCACATTAGCACGTCTCAGCTGAACCCAGTTAGCCCAGCCCAGCCCAGCCCAACCTAGACCCCTGAACCCAGGTTAGGTTAGTTTAGGTTAGCACAGCCCAGCCAGGTTCAGTTCTGGTCAGTTCAGCCTCGCCCAGCTCAGCTGAACCTAGTTTAGCTCAGCTCAGCCAAGCTCAGTTCACCTTAGCCTGGCCCAGCCCATATTAGCTCAGCTGAACCTAGGTTAGCCCAGCCCAGCCCAGATCAGCTCAACCCAGCTAAACCCAATTTACATCACACCAGCTCAATTCAGTTCAACAATCTAAGCCCAGCTCAGCCCAGCTTCTAACCCTGTCCATCTCAGGTCCTTCACCAAGCCTAGCTCAATCCAATTTAGCTCAGCCCAGCTCAGTCAGCCCAACCAGCTAAGCGTGTTCAGGTCAGTCCCGCTCAGGCCAGGCCAGGCCAGCTCAGCTCAGCTCCATCCACCTCAGCCCAGTTGGCCCAGCCCAGCCAAACCCAATTCAGGCCAGGCCAGCCCAGCTCATGTAAACTCAGTTGAGTCCAGCCCAGCTCAGCCCAGCCCAGTTTAACCTCAACCTGACCCATCCCAGCCCATGTTAGCACGTTTCAGCTAAACCCAAGTTAGGTTAGGTTAGCCCAGCTTAGCCCAGTCCACCGTAGCTCAGCCTGCTCAGGGTAGCCTAGTTCAGCCCAGCCCAGCCAGGTTCAGTTCTGTCAGTTCAGCCTCGCCCAGCCCAGCTGAACCCAGTTTAGCTCAGCTCCACCCAGCTCAGTTCACCTTAGCCTGGCCAAGCCCATATTAGCCCAGCTGAACCTAGGTTAGCCCAGCCCAGCCCACTCCGCAGGCCTAATTCAGCCCAGATCAGCTCATCCCAGCCAAACCCAGTTCAGGTCACCCCAGCTCAACTCAGTTCAACAATCTGAGCCCAGCTCAGTCCAGCTTCTAACCCTGTCCAGCTCAGGTCCCTCAGCCAGCCTAGCCCTCCCCAGCTCAACCCAATTTAGCTCAGCCCAGCTTAGCCCAACCAGCTAAGCTAGCTCAGATCAGTCCTGCTCAGCCCAGGTCTTCCAATCACAGCTCAGGCCAGACCAGCTCAGTCCAGTTCGGTCTTGCTCAGCCTAGCTGAACCAAGTTCAGCCCGGCCTGGTCCGGCCCAGTTTAGCTGAACTCAGCCTGGCCCAGCCCAGCCCAACCTAGGCCCCTGAACCCAGGTTAGGTTAGGTTAGCCCAGCCCAGCCCAGTTTAGCTGAACTCAGCCCAGCCCAGCCCAGCCCAGCCCAGCCCAGTTTAGCTGAACTCACCCTAGCCTGGCCTGGTCCAGCCCAGCACATCCCAATTCAGTTAACCTCAACCTGATCCAGCCCAGCCCACATTAGCACGTCTCAGCTGAACCCAGTTAGCCCAGCCCAGCCCAACCTAGACCCCTGAACCCAGGTTAGGTTAGGTTAGCACAGCCCAGCCCAGCCCAGCCAGGTTCAGTTCTGGTCAGTTCAGCCTCGCCCAGCTCAGATGAACCTAGTTTAACTCAGCTCAGCCCAGCTCAGTTCACTTTAGCCTGGCCCAGCCCATATTAGCTCAGCTGAACCTAGGTTAGCCCAGCCCAGCCCAGATCAGCTCATCCCAGCTAAACCCAATTTATATCACCCCAGCTCAATTCAGTTCAACAATCTAAGCCCAGCTCAGCCCAGCTTCTAACCCTGTCCATCTCAGGTCCTTCACCAAGCCTAGCTCAATCCAATTTAGCTCAGCCCAGCTCAGTCAGCCCAACCAGCTAAGCGTGTTCAGGTCAGTCCCGCTCAGGCCAGGCCAGGCCAGCTCAGCTCAGCTCCATCCACCTCAGCCCAGTTGGCCCAGCCGAGCCAAACCCAATTCAGGCCAGGCCAGCCCAGCTCATGTAAACTCAGTTGAGTCCAGCCCAGCTCAGCCCAGCCCAGTTTAACCTCAACCTGACCCATCCCAGCCCACGTTAGCATGTTTCAGCTAAACCCAAGTTAGGTTAGGTTAGCCCAGCTGAACCCAGTTTCACCTTAGCCTGGCCCAGCCCATATTAGCCCAGCTGAACCTAGGTTAGCCCAGCCCAGCCCACTCGGCAGGCCTAGTTCAGCCCAGATCAGGTCACCCCAGCTCAACTCAGTTCAACAATCTGAGCCCAGCTCAGTCCAGCTTCTAACCCTGTCCAGCTCAGGTCCCTCAGCCAGCCTAGCCCTCCCCAGCTCAACCCAGTTTAGCTCAGCCCAGCTTAGCACAACCAGCTAAGCTTGCTCAGGTCAGTCCTGCTCAGCTCAGCACAACCCTGCAAGCTCAGGTCAGGTTAGCTCAGCAGATAATGTCCCAGCTTGGCCTAGTTCCTCCCAGATAGTCTGAGAGTGCCCATTTTATCCTGGGTAGAGATAGTGCAGCCCTGTGAGCTCAGGTCAGGTAAGCTCAGCAGATAATGTCCCAGCTTGGCCTAGTTCCTCCCAGATAGTCTGAGAGTGCCCATTTTATCCTGGGTAGAGACAGTGCAGCCCTGTGAGCTCAGGTCAGGTAAGCTCAGCAGATAAGGTCCCAGCTTGGCCTAGTTCCTCCCAGATAGTCTGAGAGTGCCCATTTTATCCTGGGTGGAGACAGTGCAGCCCTGTGAGCTCAGGTCAGGTAAGCTCAGCAGATAAGGTCCCAGTTTGGCCTAGTTCCTCCCAGATAGTCTGAGAGCGCCCATTTTATCCTGGGTGGAGAGAGAGCTGTAGGCCATCCCTACTCCTGCATCGGCCCAGTTTATTTCAACCGAGTGCAGTCATGTCCAGGTCAGCCTAATTCAGCTTAATCCCATCCTGGACCTCCCAGTGCTGGCCACCTCAGCTCAGCCTGGCCTGACTTTGCCCTGCCCCCAGATAAGTCCAGCTCGGCCCAGGTCAGTCCAACTTAGGGCTTAGGATAACCCAGCCGAAGCCTGGCTCCGATGAGCTAGCTCATTTCACTCTACCCAGCTCACTCTAACTCAGCCCACTCAACTTGGTTAAATTTGCCTGGCCTGGTCCGACCCAGCTGAACCCAGTTCAGACCAGCCCAGATCGTCCTGGCTCAGGACAGCCCAGCTTAGCCAGCCTGTCCTCTAAAGGGCCAGGGTAGAGCTCTCAGTCCACCCAGCTCGCCTCAGCTCAGTCTGTTTCGGCCGCTTAGTCCACTCTGCTCAACCAAGGCGTCACTCCGTCCAGCTGGCCTGGCCCACATCGGCCCAGAAGATGCCGGCTGAAGCCAGCCAGTGGTACAGTCAGATCACTGCTGCCGCCTCCCACCCTCCCTCCTGGCTCTGGGTTGTGTCCCTGTCCTGGGGGTGCAGGCAGTCTGCACTCAGCCTAGCCCTGCCCAGCGAGGGGCCTCTGACCTTCCCATCTTGGGTCCAGCCCTGTCCCAGCCGATTCCCAGCCCCTTGCTTTCTCCTGGTTGCTGTTAGGCTGTTTCTAGCTTTCCTGTGTCCCTG